GTCCCTCGGCGCCCCCCTACTACTAACGACCGCCGCCTCAAGCGCCAACATATACACACAACTCGCCGCCTCAGCACCCCCTCCGTACTACCAGACGCCCAGCGAGGCGAGCAGTGGCGGCCGCATGTCCCCACGGCTCACCTACGGCCTCTGGGTCGAGCCGGACCGTGCGATTCGCATCGTCCAGCCGCCACATGATATCGTGCCCTACGTCGGCGAGGGCATGCGCTCGCTGGCGGGGACCATCTTCTGGACTGGTATGGGCTTCTCCCTGGGTGCATTTCGGACCATCATCGACGCGCGCTATCGCGGGATGGTCCTCGGCCCCGACGCTTCTTCCTCTTCCGATGACTGTGATTTTGCTGGTGATGACTCTGATTATGCCGATGATGACACGGATGATGCTCTTCTTCTTAGCGTATTCCGACACGCCCACCCCAAGCGACGCCAGCTCCTACACAACCACGCGGTCGTAGTTGCTGGCGGACCCGACGATGACATCCTTGACGAGCCTCCCGTCGAAGACGATGACGATCCAATACCACCACTACCAGCACAGCATGACTATGGACGCACAGCTAACCAACCCTTCTCCGCACCCCGCGGTCCCCAGGCGACGTCCCAACGCCCGAGCCCCCCACAACAGACTCCCCCTCACCCACACCCTCACCCCTCGCAGAAGAACCAGAAACGCTACCGCCGCCGCGTCCGACGCGCCTACCGCATCATCCAGCGCATGTTCGGCCCCACGACCCGCCACACCTCCGACCAGACCGTCTACGACATCATCCACGCGCGCTTCACGTGGCGCACCAAGGGCTGGATCGCCGGCGACCATCCCGGGCGCGACCCGGACGGCCCGATGCGCCTGTTTGCGGCCATCCTGCAGGAGGCGGACCACCCGGCGGCGTACGGCGAGGCCCACCTGTGGATGACGCCGCTGGAGATCGAAGCGTACGTGCAGAGCCGGCTGCGGATGACGCCGGCGGGGTGGACGCCTTGGGAGGAGGCGCTGAAGGGGCGGGGGGACGCGAGGAGGATTCAGATGGTGAATAGGTTGGTGGATTTGTTTGTGTTGCATGGCATGTGCTTTGGCGATGGGCCGCGGTGGAGGGCGGATAAAGTGGCGAGGTGGACGGAGCAGTGGATTGAGCAGATTGCCGTGGGGCCGGCGGGCGTTGGGCTTTGGTTTTGAAGGGGGTTGGGGGATGGGTAATACGTGATTATGATACGTGAGATGAATGATGTCTTGGCTTGAAGGTTAGATGGTGTTTGGAGTTGGATGGGCATAGAGTTGGTACAGTTACGGTGCAACACACGATACACTGCATAGCATATAGCACGGTTCAATGGAGACTTCAACTGGGTAGATGTTTCAATTGTATTTTTCCAGTGTCCAGCTTTTACCTCGAGGTAAGTTCTCCGCCGTTCACGCTCGCCGGCCCTGACCACTGCAGCTTGGCGGGAACTTTCTTTGAAATAACCGGCAGCCAGATGGTGTCATACAAGCTGGGTCCGCCATCCGCCGCCTTGCTTCCGGGCTCCAAACTTCCGTACTGCTTCTGGTCGGTGCAACAGGGGCTGTTGGGCCCCCAGAACGGGCCGGCAGCCCACGCAGTCCAGCCGATGTACTCTTCGTTGTTGGACATGTAATCCAGCATGTCGTTCAGCATCGTCACGCAGGCGGTTGTGTTAGAGCCGCCAAACTCGGTGATGAACGCCTTCAGCTTGTTCTCCTTCAACCAGGCCGTGACGCCGGCGAGGTTCTTGGCGGGCTCTTGGGTGCACGCCAGGTGGCCGCCGCTGAAATCCTCGTCGAGGTACTCGTGGATATCGACGGCCAGGTTCTTGAGGGGGTCCACCAGTTTCTGGATCCAGTTGCTATTGGCCTCGGCGCCGCCCTTCGTCCAGTAGTGGCCGCCGGACCAGGAGTTTCCTGGGGTGATGATCAGGTTCTTGGCGCCCGTCTTGCGGATTCCGTCGATGGCGGCCTGCAGGTTGGCGAGGTTCAAGGAGCTGGGCATGTCGTGGGGCTCGTTCATCAGGCCGAAGATGACTTTCTCGTTGTCGGCGAAGCGTTTGGCGAGTTCGCCCCAGAAGGCGCCGAATTGGGCTGTGGTCGCCGCGGTTGGATCGGACGAATTGCCGATGACGCTGCCGCTGAAGGGCTGGGAAGATGGGTTGTTGTACCGCATGTAGTTGTGTGGGTCGAGAATGGCGTCTACACGATGAAGTCCCGTCAGCAACGCAATTGCAAAAAGGGGCAATCCCCGGTCAACTTACAAGCCCCTTTCTTCTTAGTGATGTAATCAATGGACTCTTTGAAGTGGTCGAAGTGCGTCTCGTTGAACTTGGCACCGAGACCGTACGAGAGCGGGCACATGCGCTCAAGGAGAAAGGCGACGCGGAACAGGTTGACCTTGTGTTTGTCGGCCATGATGTCGACCCCTGAGTTGCTGATGAACGCGTAATCAACGCCAAAGCGACCAGGTAGCCCGGTTCCCACCTGCGCGGTTGGACTCCATGCGCCAAACTCGCCGCTGGACTCGGCGACACCGGCGTAGAAAATGGTCGCCGATGCGCCGGGGAGCAGAGCGGCACAGGCCGCTAGCGTTGTTGGCAGGTTCAGCTTCATTTTGGGCGGTATCTGCTTCGGAAATCGCAGCTTGACATGACGAACTGAACCTCGATGGCCGTGCCCGTGTTCTTATATCAGGAAAGTACCCGTCCGGTGCTCTCTCCATCACGGCTCACCAGCCCTCGTCCGAACGACCAAGAAGGCGCTTCCCCTTCTTGGCAACGGAGGCACTGGAGAGCGGCATACTGTGTAGCCAAGCACGGCAATGATCCGGGTTCCTTAATGCCGCGATCAATTCTCCGTGTCGTGGGATTAAGTAAACGAGGTGGGGAGCTCGGTTCCTGCGTCGCCGTTGCAAACCACTGCAGTGAGCTGCAATACTCAAAAATTGAGAGCTTGTGCAGACCCGGTGGCCCGGCGAGTTTGGAGGCTTGCCTGCAAGGGGAGGAAAGAGCCAGCCGGGTTGAGTTCTGCCTCGGCGTAATTTGCGGGGCGGGTCGAGGGACGGGAGGAGGGCGGAGGAAGGGACTCCGCCCGGCAGCATCCACGGGCAATGGAATTGGACGACATGCAACTTGGATCGTACAATACCACACTCGGAACAAAAGCACTGATAAGATGCTGGCCTTCCGAAATAGGGACGTGCGCCTGTTGTGAGGTCTGTGAGTTGAGGAATAGACGACAAACAAACTCAAGTTGTGGGTTGGCATCCGTTCTTCGAAATTGACTCGGTAACCCAGAAGGGTGATTACCAATGTTGATGCTTCTGGCAAACGGAAATCTCTGGTGAAAGCACTGGACCTGCTTCATGAGCCAGTGTTGACCTTGGTGGACCTCGATGTTCGGTGAGCTACGGTTGCCGGTTCGAGGCTCTCATCTTTTGCTTCCATTCTATGTTCACGCAAGCCCAAGTGGAAGAAAAAAAAATGAAATTCTTCAGGTGAAAGTGCTCAGTCCCCATTGGTTTGAGAAAAGCCAACAGAGATGGCCTTACCTAGCTGTTTGCTTGCTCTGTTTCCACAAAGTATTGGTGGCGAATGCTGCGGTGAACTGCGGTGAACGCAGGGAAGATTGGAGGAAGGCGCGAATGGGGCCATCCCTCAACGGTCGCACGATGGAACCCCCCACAAAAACGGAAGGAACGTTGACGAGAAGCTACAAATTTTTAGCTTTGAAACCGGCCGTTCAGTCCTCCATGAACTTCCAGGTTGCAACAGTTCTCACAGTTCACAATCCGACTTGCTTGAGGTCTCGGCGGCCCATCTCTGACCAACATCGTTCATTTCCTGCTATTGCGGAGAACAATTTTCTGTGATCATAGACGACGCCCTGTCAAGATGATTTTCATGAAGTTACTCTTCTGCTTCGCCGCCATGGCGGTTGCTACCATAGCAGTAGCCAGCCCTCTTCCCTGGTTTGAGCAACCGACATCCTGACAATAGCGGCAGGCACCCTTGGCCAAGAATGAGAGTCCGATTCCCGGATACGAGGTTATCGACATGCAATGGAAGATCCAAGCTTTCCCCGGTGGAAGTAAGCCAATCCCGAAACGGTTCTCACTCTGGTGCAGCACGACAGGAAGCTAACAATTTTCCTCCAGATTACACCCACACAACCGGCACCATCCAGCAGGTCGTTGCCCAACTCAACAAGATCAATCCTGAATTCGAGCAAAATGTCCTTGCCGCCGTCGCGAACTGGACTAGGGACTCCGAGTCCGCTCACAAGGTTGTGAATGAGAAAAACTGGGAGTACGAATCGCATTACTGCTTTGGGCCGTTCCCGCCGGCGTTTTCCAGGAGAGTCTACGAGGGCATTGCGTACCTGGAGTCGGTAAAGGGTCAACCTGTGATCGGTCCAGGCCCTGGCCAGTGTTCCAGGGTGAGCTGCGGCTACCACGCTGCCATTTGGTGGTGCAACGACGTATGTGAAGCACCAACCCGAACCCTGCAACCCCAGCCAGGGGAATGCAACTTCAATTCATATGCTGACCATTTTCTTTTGTCCAGAACGAGGTCGAGCTCCGACTGGACGAATTCAATGACATCGCCCGTGGCGCATACGGCCTCTATCGCCATTGTAGAGACGACACGGACAGATGCTCTGGGCAGCTCTTCTTCCAGGAGAAGTGGAATGTAATCGTGAGAGAGAATGATTGCTGAAGTGTGCAAGCTCCAGATCATGAAGAAGAAGAGATGGATGCCGTAATGACGGATATGGAATCATAGACTTAGACTTAGACATAGACACATAGAGATGGAGCCCCATCAGGTATTGGGGATAATTGATGTTGATTTCGGGCCACAAAAGACCAAAACAGCATCAGTACATTGGAGTGCCTTGTCTGGAGGCCGACCCTTGCAGTCCCACAATGCCATGGATGTACCCTTCTCGCAACCCCACAACTCAACAATCAACCACAGTCTGATTAGCTCAGTTGGTTAGAGCGTCGTACTAATATTGGGAATGGAATCCTCTCCATGACAAGGTCGTCAGTTCAATTCTGGCAGTGGGCATCGTCACGCCCTCTCGCCCCCCTGAACACAGGGGAGAGAGAGGGAATCACAGCCCGCTTGGCTCAGTGGTAGAGCGTGTCACTAGTAAGGATCCCACAATATTCTGTAAATGCGAAGGCCGAGAATTCAAGCCTCTCATTGGACATCTTTTTGTCATTGCGTCATGGGGATGTGTTCGGAGCGACTTCGGAAAGAAACAAGACAAACCCCTGAGGATGCGGAAGAGTGGAGGGTGAGTCAGCTTCAGAGTCCCCTTGCATGTTACTTGGCATTTGGCTGCTAGAACTAGGCAGATCGGACAGATTCGCAGCCGGTTACTGATTTTTGCCCGTGGACACCATGGTGCCAAGAATTTCAGCTTTCGGGGTGTGGGTTGGTAAGCTGGATGCAGTGTCATTGGCGATGATGGTCTGCATGGTGTGATTTGTTATCGACGATTTGGGTCTGTCCACGGGCAGCTGGCTCCTGCAGTCCAACGGAGAGCCGTACTGTATTCCAAATTCAGGCCCCTGCTTCTTCCGCCGCAGACAAGCTCCTTTGTCTCGATGGCACGATGGTACCCGCATGCCTTTGAGTGATTAGTCGACATCAGTACAGCTTGAGCAACTCCAATCCTGCTTGGTAAGTCAAGCTGAGATTGACGACACCGCAGGAGGATGCTATGGGACGACACAGAGTCGCGCCGCGACAACGCGCGGCCGTGTTTTGCTTGAGGAGAATATATATCACTGAATCCCATTGCTCTGAGGGGGTTCCGAGATATCGAAGGCAGAAATCGCAACAGCACCACACTGCACTCGATTACAGACACCCCACTGTCAAGATCAAATAGGGCCCCCAGGGAACAAAGAGTTCAGAACCACCATGGCTACTCCCATCACACCCTACCACAAAACGGTCTACCCCGCCATCGACCCCACCCGCCCCGAACTCTCCACCGCCGGTAAATCCATCCTCATCACCGGCGCCGGCTCGGGAATCGGCGCCGAAACCGCCCTCGCCTTCGCCAAGTCCGGCGCCGCCCACATCGGCATCGTCGGCCGTCGCCTTGCCAACCTCTCCGCCACCGCCGCCACCATCGCCGCGTCGCACCCCAACACCACCGTGCACCCCATCGTCGGCGACATCACCTCCCTCCCCTCCATCACCGCCGCGCTGCACGCCTTCGCCTCGTCCGTCCCCTCGGGGAAAATCGACGTGCTCATCGCCAACGCGGGGTACATCAACAAGATCGCGCCCCTCGCTGAGACCGACCCCGCTGACTTCTGGCGCGTCTTCGAGGTCAATGTCCAGGGGAACTACAACCTGCTGCGCGCCTTCCGCGAGGTGAAGGCTTCGAGGGCGGTGGTGCTGCATGTGAGCAGCTGCATTGGGCATTTGCCGTACGTGCCGGGGTACGCGGCGTATCAGGCTAGCAAGCTGGCGGCGACGAAGGTGTTTGATAACTTTCGGGTGGAGAATGAGGGCGCGAGGGTGGTTAATTATCATCCGGGGTTGTTCAGGACGGAGATTGGGAGTACCACGGAGGAGGCGGGGCTGGGGTTGGAGTTTGATGAGATTGAGCTGGCGGGGGGGTGGGCGGTTTGGGCGGTCAGTGAGGAGGCGGAGTTTCTGGATGGGAGGTTTGTGTGGGCGGCGTGGGATGTGGAGACGTTGAAGGGGATGAGGGGGAGGTTTGAGAGGGATGGGGGGTTGTTTACGGTGGGGTTGGAGGGGTTTCCTCAGATTAGGGGGGAGTGAATGCCTGTGAGGAGGGCGAGGGTGGTTGGAGGTTAGATAAGATGGAAGGAAGTGCTGGGGGATGGTGAAAGATCTGGATTTGGACTTGGATGGGATGATATAGAAATTAGAACGAACGGGTCAAACATTTCACCAGCTCACTGCCTCTCTCTCAGTCCTCGATCACCGCGTAAGGTGATTGATTCCAGCTCATGCAAGTTCGCTGGTTTGAGGGGGTCCGTTTTCTGACCTTCGCTCCTTCCCCCTTCACAACCAAAGCCACCACAGGAAAAACCCATCCAACCGGGTAGCGCTCCCGTCAAATCTAATAGTGCCATTCCTCTCAAGCAAAACGACCACCCACAAAACACCCCAACCATACCGCCTAACCACCGCCGTGAAAATCCCCACCCTCACAACCACCATCCTCCAAAATGCCACTCCATGCAAGATACCATCGCCCAGCTCCCCTTCTAGGAAGTATCCTTCCACACGGGGCGTCGTCCCCCCCTGGGCCCAAGCCGAAAACGAAACCGAAGGCGACTGCGAAATGCTCCTCGACACCTGGCACCTCGCCGCCGACGACGAAACCCAAGCCGCCGCAGAAAAAGCCAACGCCGACTTCGAGGCCGCGAGGCAGAAATGGAACCGTCGAGACGACCTCCTTTTTCGGTTCTGTCGCGTTGAGCAGCTCATGGGCGATGAGGTCGTCGAGAAGGAGGGGTCGCAGAGGCGGGGGGGTTGTTCCATGAGGATTCCAGGTTGGGATGCGTGGATCTTGCATCGCATTCGGGGGTTTTGGGATAATGGGAGGCTGCCTTGGGCGGAGAGGATGGGGGTTCATGAGAGGGAGGTGTAGGGGGAGGTTGAGGAGTGTGCGGCGCGGTTGGGTATCCTGAGGGAGAGGTACGAAGCTGCGGTGAAGGATGAGGAGGGGGGTGTGTGTCACAACTGTCGAGACCACAGTCACATGTTGTAAGTTTTCCTTCTTGACATCTGCTTCTCTTAACATACCCCTGCTCTGATTATTAACTCAAAACAGAGGGCGAGCCATCGCAGCTGACATCTACAACACCAGACTCCGGCCCCGGCTCTGGGACCGCCGAGCATGGACCAAGTACCGCAGCGAGCTTTTCATCATCCAACCAAGCCGAATCCATGGTGTCGGGAAAAACGGAATATCTGGGGTCCAGATCGAGTATGGATCCATCCGAAGAGACATCTCTGATGGAATATGTCAGACACTTTGAACATCTTGAGCAAAGATGGAAGGAGAGGAAGATTAGGGTAGAGCAGAAGATGATGATGACGGGAGTGGTGAGTATCCCGGACACAGGAGGGACCGAAGATGCGCGTCCAGTTTGAATGCCAATGGGTCACCTGTGCGAAGGGTCTTGAGCTGCGGGAATATTTGCGACAGGTACCTAGTTTGCACTTGAAAGGATCACAATGTCTTATAATACCCCGGTAGCCGCGCCTTTCTTTATCTGAAAGAATTCTAAGTAGGATCGTCGGCGCCAGGAGTGCAGTAGCGGCCCGGTCAAAGCCGAAGCGAGAGGATTTTGTTTTGTTTTTGGAATTCAGCTTTGCCTGCCGTGTAGCCAACCGTGTTTGCTAGTAAATATGAGTGTTAGCTTGGTCTGTTAGCCGCGAGGACTAGTTGCTAGACTCCCGGGTCGCGTCGTGATTGGCTACGATTGTGGTCGAGGGGGTTGGCATCGTGGTCAACTGGTGTGCAAAAGACGGGATGGAGGGATAATATAGATTTGAAAATTCCGTCGAGGCCGAAAGTATGGTAACTCTTTGGGGCGATGATCTGCATTCATTCAGAGACTTTGCAATGAAATACGTGGGACTTTGGGGGAGTCTTGGTCTTGGGATGTCAGTCCAGAACTACCAGAAGGGCCTGGCTCCAGGAGAGATTCCCGCCCTTCATCTCTCCAGACAGCAACCAACACATCAGCCACTCATCCCTCGAGACAGCAAGTCTAGGCCCAAAATGAAGACCCTCAGCTTCATCGCCATCGCAGCTTTCCTCGTCACGGGCTCCGCGGCGCAAGCTGTGGATGATCCCCGGTGCCCATCCCGAACAACACCCCCCTTGCACATTGTGGCGCAACTCGCCTCCTGTGGCCCGGATAGCTATTGCGTCAACGACTATTGCAACCAATGGGTCTGCACTAGAGCGCCATGTGGGTACCGTTCTTGTTCGCTCCTGAGTCCGCTCTCGGAGACCAACGAGCCCTGCACCGGTCCACCTCTGCCCGCTGCACCTTGGTAGTAGATGATGATGCGGGGGTAAGTGAGGTCACCTTGTTTATTTATTTTGGAGGTGGTCTAATCTGGGGGGGCACTAGGAAATGAGGTCGCGGGTGGACAAGATTGGCGTTGTCTTGAGAATGATCATGACATGGAAGAGGATTGTTTGTGGCATTGAAAGTAGTGGAAATTGGGGAACCGTCGCCACTTGTCAGAAAAGAGAGAAAGTAAATACTATAGACGGGTGGGCATTTATGAAGTTTTATCACCAATTCTGATTTCTGATTCAGGGGCTGACTCTGAACCCTAACCCTTCCCCCTTTTCACTCAACCATGCATGACCTCATCCGCCCTTGCTCTCTCAACCCCTCTCACCCTTCCACCATCCCCTTCAACTTCTCCGACCACCACCTACCACTACCACTGCCACCACCCTGCAAAATGTCAACAGCCGCCGAAATGCTCTCCCGCCGCCTCACCGTAACCCCCCTTTCTCTTTTTTCCCTTTTTGTGTCCCTCACCCCCACTCACCCTCACCCTCGCTAACCACAACCAATCCCAGCTCCCCAACGGCGAAACCATCCCCCAAATCCACCTCGGCCTCTACCAAATGTCCCCCAGCACCACCCACCGCGCCGTAACCTCCGCCCTAACCACCGGCTACCGCGCCTTCGACTCCGCCCAATGGTACCACAACGAATCCGCCACCGGCACCGCCATCACGTCCTTCCTCTCCTCCCACTCCCACCCCGCCGTCGTATCCCGCCCCACCATCTTCTACACCTCCAAACTCCGCTCCAACAGCACATCCTACCCCTCCGTCCGGGAATCCATCACGCGCAGCGTCGACGCCTGCGGGCTGGGCTACATCGATCTCTTCCTGCTGCACTCGCCCTACGGGGGGAAAGAGGCTCGACTGACCTCGTGGAGGGCGGTCGAAGATGCGATTCTCGCCGGGGAGGTCAAGTCCGGGGGCGTGAGTAACTACGGCGTGAAGCACATTGAGGAGCTGATGAGCTGGG